TTTGATGTTTACATTGGCAAAGCTCATTACATCAAGAAGCTTACTCCCAATCTCTCTGTACAACTAGTTACTAGTTTTATTTTTGAAATCCTTAAGGCGAAAATTCCACCTCCTCCTCATCGTCATCGTCCTCAACTCTTTTCACATTAAACGACATTATTTTTTACTTTTTTTCTTCTCAGTTATAGTTTTTATGCTTCGGGCATATATGAAGATTGTTTGATGCCAAAGCAAAGAGGGGATGATGAAGAAGAAGATGTGGAGCAAGTAATAGCATATCATAGCAAGAGGACATAGTACGTTCGCATACATGAACCTAAATAAATAATGTGTATATCATCATCATATGTGAAGCACACATGCCACATGAATCGAAAAATGATAGCTTAATCCTTGGAATCATGAAAATATCCACAGCTCCTCTTTTCTTATACAATCGCACATGAACATGAACAGCAAATATATGAAATATAGATCGTGAGAATATACATATACGTAAGTATAATCATACCGAACAAACATTATTATATGCGCTTACATAAAAAATAATATGTTGAAATGTACATACTTATAATGAACATTGTGGAGACAAAATATGTATGTTGAATGAAGAAATCGATGCGACTGAATGTTGAGAAAACGCAACCAATAATGTAAGGATAATTTTATATATCAAAAGAAGAAAATTGATATTCGTGCTCATAAATATCAAACATACTACATACTATCCTACTCCTATATTTGATGCTTACACTTTAATAACATGGAATAGTCTCATGAATATTTTATAAAGTGAACAATTTATTGGAAAATAAAGAGGATATTTTGTAGTCATTAGTGATGATTTTTACATTAAATTTGATAGATTTTGATTTTTAACGGATATTTTATATTCGAATCTAGTTACAGTCTTCACTAAGATAGTTGCTTTCCCCTCTCAAACTTCAAAAATATTGAATAGTGCTAAGGGGCCGTTCACTTATTACGTTCGCATTTTAGGGGGAAGGGGGGGTTTGAAAAATTGTAACAAAATGTAACAAAGGGGGGGGGGGGGGGGGGTCAAGAAGTATGTAACGTTCTAACTGTCGTCTGTTTTTTTTAAAAAAAGTTCACGAAAAAAATTTGTTTACAAATTCACACCAAAAACATTTTTTAAATTTTCCACCTTTTTATCAAAATAAAATAAATTATGAACGTTCGATGGGGGGGGGGGGGGGGGGGGTTGGTGGTGTGAGTTGAAACATATTGTAACAAGGGAAGGGAGGGTTTTTTTTGCGTAGCGTAATAAGTGAACGGCCCCTAATTTTAAAGCTGAATTAGCTCAAAACCACATAAAGCCTTCATTTCAAGTTCAATCAACAAAGCAAGTCAATACTCTTTATTATTCATCAATCAAAATTCGATACTCAAAAAGATCCAGCTAACGAAAATATCATCAATGAGTAAACAAACGAGGAAATAAGGATGTCAAATGAAGAGCTTACGAAAATTGATGCATAAAATGCCACTGCTTAGTAAATTTGTGAACTCTTGATGAAAATTTTAACAGACATTAAGAGTACACACGACTTAATGGATTGGAAAAAAAAAAGACAACAAAAGCTTAACGTTATAAATTTCTTCAACCATTAAAGCACATTTTCTCTCTCTCGTCTACAAAATTTTGCTGTATTTTCCAACCACGAACATCAGAACGACTGCTGCATCAGTGAAGCCAATCATTCATAAATAAACGATTTGGACTTGAATTTTGATTGTCGACATTGTGAAGTGAAAAGCTGACGCAACCACACAATAAAGCTCAACGTCAATCATCAAGGTTTTTTTTAAAAAAAAAAAAATATGAAACTGTTTACATATGACGACAAACCGCAATGCTTTTAATTTAATATGCATGAACTGTACTCACTTGTGAATTTTCCATACGATACCATTTTTTTCGTGAACTGTCTTTCATATACAATGTTTCATTGCACGCACATAAATTTATGGTGGGGAAAGAAATAAATTCTCATGCAAAAAAAGGACAATTTTTTTTTAATTAATTCCACTTAATTTTCTTTCCTGCTTGCGAGAGGCTGCAGACTGTACATCATAATTTTCATGATGAACGGCTGATAAAAAAAACATTGAGTTTGAGAAAAAGGAGGTGAATAAAAAAACAAATTAAAATAATCCATTCAATCTCATTCATTCCTTTACCTCACTAATTCGCATTTAATTATGCAAAAGAAGGAACTGAAAGAGTCATTCATTAAAATAAATTAAATTTGAGAGCACGGTAATTAGTGCATAAGAGCTTTAGGAATTTTCTTCATCCAGCACACACTTTTCTGTTCTTTAATTCATGCATGAAAGAAAATCTTAAAGTAATTACTTCATGAATTATTGCTTCAAAATAGTACCGGCAAGGTTCCATTAATTTTTCATGTTCTCATCTTAAGTGAGTACGGAGCAAGTCGTTAGAAGGAACTTTTCTTGCTCATTGGATGATAGAAATTTAATTTGTTTGAAATATTTCATGTAAATTTGCATACAATGAGATTTTGAGATAATTTAGAGGACAGGAAAATTGAGATGTTGTTTAAAGGACAATGAGAAGCATGAACTTGAATCAAGATTCACATAACATATTTTAATTCGACTCCGGATGAATTTTAATCAATTAAATATTAATTCTTTGGTTAAATCACAACTGGAGTGGTTGATAAAATACGTCACAAAGTTGTAGTTCAAAAATAAAACAGGACTTAGAGGGATCGTTCACTTATGACGTCCAAAATTAACGGTCATTTTTCAAAAGAGAAAATATTTTTTTTTCTTGTTGACCCCCCCCCCCCCCTCCTTGGACGTCATAAGTGTATAGTCCCAAAAAGGGTTTGATTAAAAATTTCAGCGGGGCATGAATTGATTTTTTTATTCTTGAAATCTCCCTCTGCATTAGTGAACGACCCCAAAATAATCCGATTTGTTTGACATTCACTAATTGAAAATCAGTTGAGTTTTGCATTTATTTCAATATTTTAATCATCAATTAATTTTTTATATAAATCTGTGCCAATTATTTTATGAATTTTCTGAATTTGATATGCTTTAATTATTTTTGTATTGGTTTAAAATCGAAGCTTTAAGTATGTAGTCAGGGATGTGGATTGATGGTTTTTGAAAAAGTTTAAATTTGTTCAAGTCTTTTAAAACTTTAGAACGAATTATTCTGTAGATGTGTTTGGAATATTGTTTATAAGTGTCATGCTAGCTTTTAGCTTTGCCTGGAGATTCCGGAAACTTTTTCATGCACAGGAATGTCGAGGAAATCCTAAATACAGAATGACTCTCAATATAATCCTTCATGAAGTGCGCTCTAATTCTTCAAGTGATTTGAGCTGGTTTTATCTTCCATTCATATTCCATCAGAATCCCTAACGTTCATGTCAATAATTCTTCCTCACAAATTGTTTCATATTTTTCGTTACATTTGTTCTAATGTATTATTCAATTTTTCAGTCAATTTAACTGACAATACTAATTTGACCTTTGCTATAAAGCATATAATTAAAGTAAAACCTCAAAAAACGTTTGTTCACGATTTCATTCATAGAATTATCCATTAAATTTCCATGAACGAACATGAATAATTAAAGTTTGATCGACACGACTCCGAGGACATTAAAATTTGATAATTACCAATCGATTGAGATTCATTTAGATGTGTTGACCGCTCAACAATCGCCTAAATGATGCAGACAACATACAAACTTACACTAATAGCACATTCAATTAACTATCCACAGCATATAATTTTTTTTTATTTTGCTTCTTCCTGTTCATACACAATATATAATGTCAATGTATGTTGTTCACATTAATGATCATTAATAATAATGAGTTTCAGCTGGTTAGCTTTTTATCGATAATTCAATACAATGTGCATTGTTGCTCTATTTTTAATTGCCATACAATACTATTCGCATTCATATCAGTCAAAAATGGCAAAAAAAAAGAGGAAGTCAAGCCACTACCGCGACTCAATTTTTTTTCCTATACAGGAACGAGTAGGATGAGTAAAATTGTTAATAAATTGAATTTTTACTGAGGACGGAAGTATTCATTATAGAAACCAGGACAGAAAAAGGAAGTGGAGAAATAATTAAATCAAGTTCGGTTCGATCACGATGCTGAATGATAAATAAAAATCATTTTGTATTTTGTTCGATTTTTAAATGAAGCAGCATCTCCTGCTATGTACAGAAAAGTGATACAAGGAGAAATGAAGAGATAAAAATGATAAATATGTCAATTCAACGTAAATCCTTTTAATGAATTCAGCCTGACGAGCAATTCGATTTTTAATTTTGAAATCTTTCAATTGTAGCTATAAAGTGGACGGGGCTCCATTGTTTTGATCACTTTGGTAGATGGAATGAAGAGATTGACTCTATTTGCTAAGACAACCAGCCTTTAAAGCTTCATTATCAGATTATAAAATAGAATCCATATTAATCATCAACATCCTGCAAATCAAATCAATTTCAATCAATTTTCCAACCTGTTGTGACGCCTACGTTATAGACTCATCCAGTGACTTTTTAACAATTTTTTTCTTTTCCTTCCTCTCGCATATATTTCTCCCAATATCGGTGCCACATTTCCCTGCCAACTGTGAAACATCGAAAACTATAAATGAGTTGTGTATATTTATAAAATACAGATTATACAAGCCCCCGACAGGCAAACGACTGTTTTTGCCATTTAATTAATGTATTTTTGCGCAAAAACATTTGTAATTAACAAACATATTTTACAGTTAATAAAAGGCATGAGGAATTCTTTTTTTCAGTATTAAATTCACAATATTGATTCAGCAAAAGTACATTTCAGATGACGAATAAATGCTGTCATGCTGATCGAACATCAAAGTTGAATTTTAATTAAATTTTCTATCAGAGAAAAAAAAATAATTTTTTTTTTGTTCCTGGAAAGTTCAATCAAATACGAATCAGTTGGAATTTTTGTCAGCTTCATTTTTCATTACATATAACAAATTGGAAGTTACATAACATCGAGTTCTGTATAAAAAAATTGACTTAATTTAAATTTTTATGAAATTCATTTACAATTACACTCCCATTTCCTCAGCTTCGCTTATTGTATCGGGGAGATCACATCCCAATGTTTCAGGTAGGAATAGGGACATAAATCCAGCTACTAGAGCAAATGATCCGAAAACTGTTAAAGGCAAAAAGCTATAGTAACTTTTAAGTAGTGGAATAAATGGTGCAAGAAGTGATGTAAGTCGTGCTACTGTTGATAATGTACCAACAGCTCCGCTTCTCATGTTTGTAGGCATCATTTCAGCTGCAAGTGATGTGTAAAAAAAAATTAAATTTCAATTTAGCAAGATTAGATTAAGATTATTGTGACGATATTCTTTAATGACGTTCTTTAAACATCGCTATAGACTGTTCCTCTTGAGCTAATGTCTCCTTATAGCATCCAAAACAAAACCTGAAGACGAATTTGTGTAACTAGAGTTGACTTCGGTCGACTAGAGTTGACTCTGGTCGACTAGAGTTGAATCCGGTCGACTAGAGTTGACTATGGTCGACTAGAGTTGACTTCGTTTGACTAGAGTTGACTCCGTTCGACTAGAGTTGACTCAACTTTTAAGCATGCATTTACTTTATGAGGCTATGCTAAGAGTATAATGATATATACTATAATATATAAGAACTTTATAAGCCAGAGATGAGAAATGAGTCAAAACCTCAGACTTAAGTGTCATTGTATGTTAAACGTCATTAAAGAACAACTCCTTTATCAATCCTTACCAGTATAGACAGTTGTGATTGTAAAAGACATCGAAATTGCCATTTTGCTGATTAAAAATGAAAGAGTTTCAAGCAAAAATGCTTCATTATCACTAAAAGCACCCCATACGCATCCCACTCCACAGATCAAAAATGAAAATACTAATGGATATCGACGTCCAATTTTGTTCATTGAAATCTGTAAAAATTGATGACGGTTGAAAGTTTTGTTCATTAAATAATTCAGTTGAAAAAGAAAATAAGTTGATGGGTTCAAAAATTTATGACAAAAAATTACCCAAGCGATTGTTGTTCCTGGTATTTCAATCAGACTTCCGAATATGAAGTTGTAGTAAATGTTTCCACTTAAATTAACGGAATTAAGTGATAGCCCATAAAACACAAGTGCGTTTGTTCCCCTATGAATAATAAATAATGTTATTAATTCAGTCATTAACATGAATCATTGAGTTTACCATAAGATACATAGAATAAGGATGCGTACCATTAGGATTTTGGATTTAAAGAGTGCAGCATAGCTTGCATTTTCAGGCTTTTCAATTTTTTCTGATGAGTCTATGGGTATTTTTCTATCAATTATAAAATTTCCTTCAAATTGTGACGTCAAACTCAATGACAGTTCCTTATTATTTGTTTTTGCTGCTTTTTTGACTATTTTATATGCATTTGAATGTAATTTATTTGAAATCAGCCAGCACACAGACTCGGGAATGAGTCGATAAAAGAATATAAATAAAATTGGCGGAAGCGACAGCCAGCAAATGAGATTTCTCCAATTACGATCAAAATATGCAGTCATTCCAATAAGAACTCCGCCAAATGAATAAAAGTAATTAAGTAGAACGGCTGACATTTCCCGTTTGTTTTTATCGATGATTTCAATTACCAATATAAATGCTGAAAAATAAATTCCAGCTGTTCCAGCCGCATTCAAAAATGTAAAAATTAAAAACATTAAGTAGGAGCTTGAAATGGCCTGGCCAATTCCACTTAATGACATGAACATTATTGAAATAATAAAAATTTTCCGCCTTCCATAATAATCAGCTAAAAAGCCAAAAAGTGCTGATCCAATCATTACGCCGGCAAAATTTGCAGTTCCAGCAAATGCAAGCTTCCATTGATTTTCAGTGCATGTCAATTCAGTAGGCCACTGTCTCGGGAGAGATAAAGAATTATGAAATGTGATTAATGACATTGTATGTCCCATTCGAGTAGTGCGTGTTTGATTGACAATGAAATTGATTGCATGTGGGACTGTTTATTGTGTTTGTTTAAGACTAGGCAACAACTGAATTACGATAATATTCAGGCTTATGCAATTTTCTTATCAATGCACGTCTGAAGTTAACGTAATCAATTGTTTTTTATAAACATCTGTTAAGCTAGACTCAGGCTAGACACTTAGTTCTGGGAAACTAATTAAAAATGTTTTATGCAGTGGTGAGTCGCTGCGCACAGCATTTGAGTTGCAAAGAATGTTAAGGTTTAAACCCCAATAATGAAAAAGAGTCAAATTGTGCCATGGATCAAAAAAAGCTTAGCAATCCCTGCTTTGAAGCAGTTTAAATCAGAATAGAAAGCTAATTGAAGTAAGAAGCCAAGAAATGAATGATCGATGTACAGATACAGTTACAATCCTGTTTTCGGTTTACCATGAAATAATATCATTTCCAGAGCAAACCAAGAAAACAACTCTGATAGAGAAGTCGCACGATATATCACGTGATTAGCGAAATCAATAAGGATTAGTCTTATCAGTTTGTTTGTATCAACTGTGAAATTTTCAAGTCACACTTAAATTAGTTCTTATCACTTTTATCCATGAAATACAATGTATTAATCTTATCAAAATTCATCACTTATCCGACGGCAAATTTTGTTAAAAAAATGTTTCCATCTGCTATTTTTTTTTGTGTGGCGTGATGTTGCTATTTTTTCAGTCAACAACAAACTCGATAAATGAGGGAATCGCTACCAAATTTAAAACAAACAAACATCATTCCATCTTCTCAAACACAGCACATATATCATAAAATACGACATAACTTCTAGAACACGATAAAACCAAACTTACATCATTGACAATCGTCACTTCATCACTAGAAAAAATCCAACTGTTGCACTTTTCCTGTTCCAAACCAAATAAATCAGCAAAGCAAGTGTCATTCCTTGTTAATTCCGTATCGTTGATGTTCTGTATAAAATTGTATTTGTAACACCCTTCAGGTACAAACTTTCCATTTGACAATGAACCTGGTAATGCATTTTGCAGCCAATCTTGACTGTAGTCTGTACTTTCGAGCTGTTCACATTCAGACACAAAGCATCTATGTGTAAATATTGATATAAATGTTATTGCTTTGTTCTGCTTGGCACAGTTATAGTAATTAAATTTGTTTGCTTACCTGTAAGGTGGTTTACGGGCTGTAAAAATATATGTAAGTGAATTCGCTGCACCATAAAGAACAGGAAGGCAAACTAGCATCAAAATTTTAATTTGAAACTTTCCAAAGCCACCAATTTCTTCCAATATTGTGTCGTAATCCATGGCTGAATTTATTTTTTTTTGTGAGTTGACAAAAATCTTCAGTTTGTTTCGGAATGTTTTAGACACTTTTGTTGACTTACTGCATTAACACATTTTTTAATGTGACAAAAATCATTAAGGTTATTATTATTATTTAATTATTGACGAGTTCTGTACAGCCAGCGATGTGGGATTGTACAAAAATATAAAAATATTTAATTGCTTAAATTTTGCGATTGGAACCACTTAAACTTCTTAATTTTGTGCTTTATCACTTGAGAATACTTTAAATTGTTATCACAGTTTGTTTTTATTGTTTGACTATCCATAAAGAGTTATCCTTCTTATCATGGTTTTATTTGTACTTGGGTCTTATTAAGTTTATGACTAACTACACTTTATTATTCAAATAATTTTTAATTCTAGTACTTTTAATCATCGCTTGATATGGTTTACAATTATTGATGCAGCTTATCATCTGTTTTTATTTTTTTTTATTTCCGTAGAAACTCAATTTTTTTCTGGTTCAACCTTGAAAATTTGTATACGACTTTAAAGTTTAAAATTTAATGCTTTTTGTAGCTCTAAGCATTCAATATCAACTCAAATCCAATTAAGTCTATTTCTCAAAATTTCGCTTGTTCAAAAATAATTAAAAACTTTCAACACTTCATTAAACTTTTCGAAAATTTAAAACAAAAATCCTTTTTACAATTTTTCTATCAGCTGTGCTAATTTTTCCCATTCCACAACTTGACTTTCAGACAGTTATCGCGCGACTACTCTTCAATGATTGATTAAAGAAAAGAAAATTTTTAAAACTGATTAATGACATCATTTAAAAGCCGATAAGATAAGGGGTCGTTCACTTGTGATGTACATTAAAAAAAATAAGGTTTGCATAAAAGGAGAATTCCTGCTGAAGTAAGGTTTTTGTATTATAAGGCTTGTTTCTAAGGCTAAATCATTAATATTCACTTTCCTGTATAATTAAAATTTGTCTCTGGCTACGATTGACTTGTTTTGGAGCCTAGAAAATGTGATTTATCAGTTTCGAACCCATACACTAGGGATGATGCCATGGGTAGCCCTAGAAACCGGAATATGGTCTTGTAGATGACAAAAGATCACAGTAAAGCCAAAGAACTCATGAAAACTAGTAGAAACTAGTAATTTAAAGTTACCTTTAGAGTTATACTTGATTTTCCGGCCAACTAAAATCAGAAAAGACCTCCTTAAATCCCTTATTAACACAGAGCTTGAAAGGTTTTATGTTTCCCCCCCCCCCCCCCCCCCAAATACAAACTTAATATTAGACAACACAAATGAATATTCCCCCAAACACATAACGTAATATTCAGCCGAGAGAGAAAAAGTTCATTAGCCAAGCGACTCTATACATTGTATGGAGATGAGAGCACTTCATTATCAATGTGTAATTCTTATAAGGCAATTTGTTTGATAAAAATTTTCAATGTAAGGTACTTGAAAGTAAAGGAAATTCTTCAAATATTGTCATACTAATCAAGTGCTTACTGTGTAGCTTATCTTTAAGTAAAAAGTGTGGGAACAATAATTAAGATTATGATAAATATTGAGTATGTTACTCATATTTGTTCAGTCTCTAAGATTATGCCTTAAGCGATACAATAATTTGAAGAAAATTTACTAATTAAGCTTGAAGATTATAAAGTTATTAGGATGATTGTGTTAAATTTAAGTGCGTAGGAATTATTGGATGTTAATTTGATAGCTTTTTGAGGTAGCTTCGAAGGTCAACTTGCGAGTTCTTTGAAAAAGAAGAAGTTGAATATTTTGTTGATGACTCAATGAATTTAGTGACCATTACATAAAGTATTTTAATTAATGATGCAAAGCAATTAGAATGCAGGTATCTACATCTGTGTGATATTCTAAAAAAATTCTAGGATATTTTTTTGGGTCTTTGAGTATCAAAAGATTCATTTTTAAACACTCATCAAATTAGCACATGAAAATCGATGTCAAGCAGACTTAAGTGCCAAATAGTCTCAACGAAAAATGTAGCACAGTTTAATTTATTATTTTGTTTTAATTTCCCGACAAAAGTTAAAAATAACCATTTTTTAAATCCTACCTACTCAATGTGAAATACGCTTGTTGCTAAAAATAAACTTATTCACTGATAATATTAAATCTGTTTATTTATTATTTGAAAACAAGGCTTTCCACTATCAAAGCAGACCCGACACTAACTGTTTTATGTTTAATGACAAAATCTAGATTTTTTATTATTTTATTGGTACACAAATCAAAAGGAATTAAATTAATTGGAACAATAAAGCCAATCAATGCGTACAAAACAACAAATTGATAAAATGTGATCAAATATTTTTATTTTTGTCACTTAAAAAATCGTACGACATTTAGGGTGTGTTTAATTGTTGTGCGGGTACAAATACAACTTAATAAATACAATAAAAAAGTCATTAAAAAATAAGTAACAGCATCACGTCCCAATATTTTCAGCCTCTTGAACAGTATCTGGTAAATTTGATCCTAGAGTCTCGGGAAGTAGCATTGACATCAGTCCAGACGCTAATGAAAATGTTCCAAAAACGGACAATGGCAGAGAGTCGTGGAAGTTCTTAAGAAGTGGAATAAATGGAGCTAGAAGCGATGTAAGACGTGCGACTGTTGAAAAGGTACCAACACAGCCACTACGGATGTTTGTGGGCATCATTTCAGCTGTGAAAATTTTTAAACATATCATAAGAAGAGCAGGAAGGTAAGGTTTTAAGACAGGTACACACAAATGACCAGACCAGTGCTTCTTAAGCGATGTTTCACGACACACTACTCTATTGTGGTCCAAAAAGCTTGAGAATCACTGACTCAGTCAAACCATGACATTATTAGGTATATGCATGTAATGTACTAGCTAATTCTTAGTCACATAGCTACTCAGTAAGCAGTTCTGACTTACAACCTACTTTATAACCACAACTTACCCGTATAAACAGAAGTGATCGTAAAAGATGTTGAAATTGCCATTTTACTGATCAGAAACATAGAAATTTTAAGCCATCCTAGCTCTTCGCTGACAGCTGCTCCAATAAAACTACAAATGCCACAAACCATTAATGACAGTATTAATGGACTTCTCCGGCCAATTTTATTCATTGAAAGCTATAAATGAATTTAAATTAGATTAATAAATCAGCAATGAGTTCAATAAACTATAGGAACCTACCCAAGCAATTGTGATTCCAGGAATCTCAGCCAAACTTACATACATAAAGTTTAAATAAATGTTTCCACTCAAACTGACGGAGTAAAGTGAAAGTCCATAAAACACGAGTGAATTAGTTCCCCTGTGAATAATGAAAATTCGTTATTTGCTAATTAAGCCATTGACTCATCAATTAAGACTTACCATATGAAAAATAAAGCAAGAATTCGAAGCACTAATTTTCTAGATTTTAAAATAGCAACGTAATTTGTTTTAAAACTGTTTTCAGACTGTGATAATTGGCTTATTGAGTCTGAAGATATATTAATGTCAATATTCGTTCCTTTAAATTGACTCACGATACTTGATGAAAGTTCTTTCTTATTGTCTTTGGCTGCTTTTTGAATTATTTTAAATGCTTTGCTGTAGTATTTATTAGCAATCAGCCAGCATGCAGATTCAGGAATGAGCCAGTAATCGACTACAAAAATAATAGGTGGAGCTGCTATCCACAATGTCAAATTTCTCCAATTTCTTTCAAAATATGCAGTTATCCCAACTAAGGCTCCACCAATAGCAAAGAAATAATTAAGCAAGACTGAAGACATCTCGCGCTTACTTTTATGCAGCATTTCAATTATTAATACGAATACAGAAAAGTATATTCCAGCTGTTCCTGCAGCATTTAGAAGTGTAAATATGAGCAGCATCATGTAAGAATTCGACACTGCCTGGCCAATTCCAGTTAATGACATAAAAGCTAATGAACCGATGAAAACCGTTCGACGTCCATACATATCAGCGAGAAACCCAAATATTGCGGATCCAAGCATCACGCCAGCGAAATTCGCAGTTCCAATAAGTGCGAGCTTCCATTCATTTTCTGTGCATGTCATTTCGCTGGGCCACTATAAGTAAATTAAACTAATGAATAGAATAGAACTTATATAGGTCATTATGCCAGTGCAAGTAAAATGTCTGTATCTAAATGGACTTAAGGATGATTTACAAATGATGTGCACTAAAAATTGGAATTTTAAGGGGCACAACGTTAATTAAAATAGCTCAAGGCCAATTCAAACCTTAAATTTTTTATAGGTTGGGCAAGGATGTTCATACTTAAAACTTGACCCGAATAACACACGTCGGTTAATCGAATAAAAATCTGGCACCAAGCTGATATGATTCTGTCATAATGCTGGCTTCGATTTAAATCCAGCACCATGCCAGAGTAACGCTTGCCTAGTGTCGGATTTCTAATCGATTAACCGACTTGTGCCATTCGGGTGAGTTACTCAACATTAACTCAATCCTCAACAGTAAAGATTTGGTTTTAATTTTTAAGCCTGTTTCTAAGGCTTCAATGGACATTTAAAATCTATCCTAGGTAGCAACATTAATTCACTGACACTCACTCACTGACATTACGTTACAAAAAACTTACATCATTTATCATTGTAACTTCATTTTCATCAAATATCCAGCTATCGCACTTTTGTCTCTGTTTACTAAACAAATCAGCGACGCAAGTATTATTTCCAATTAATCCTGTATCATTGAAATTGTATTTGTAACATCCTTCAGGTACGAATTGTCCATTTGATATTGAACCCGGCACCGCATACTGTAGCCAATCTTGATTATATTTTGCACTATCAAACTGTTCACATTGATCAACAAAGCATCTAAGTCAAGTGAATGAGCACATATGTATCATTATTCACTTGATAAATTAACCGACTAATTCAATTCACTTACCTATAAGGCGGCGTTCGAGCAATAAAAACATATGATACAGCATTTGCTGCTCCATAAAGTACTGGAAAGCATATCCATAATAAAATTTTCACTTGAAACTTTCCAAAACTGCCAATTTCATCTAAAACTGCATCGTAATTCATAATTAAATTTTTAAGCAATAAAAATTAATTTTTTATACACCTTTTTGTAATTTTTAATCAGCATATGAACTATATGGACGAGATCTTTTTCTGTATTAAAAATTGAATGGAAATCACAGTGATTTTTATATGCCTTATTTTAATAATTTGCCTTCTTTTTTGATTGACTTAAAAATTATGAGAATCTTGTTAATAAATCACTTCTTATTAAAATGGCTTTGTCACTTTTATCGTATTTTAGTTCAATTAAGCGCTAACAATGGACTAATAAAGAATAAACTTAAATGAATACTGTAGGAATATACAGAAGTAACGCGTAGTCTCGTTAAGTTTATAGGATTTATCACATGCGTTGCATCTGATTATTGATAAATACACGGTAAGCGAAGCAATCTAAAGCACTTCACTGATATTTTAAAAGAAATTTATTTGTAAGTGCCAATTATAGCAAATCATTTAGTTACAAATTAATGAATGTCACTTGATTGCCACTTACAGAAGTAAACAAATAGCCGTGATAAAATTCAATGAGGATTGCAACTTTTTAAACACAATATCAAGCAGGGTCATATTATTTACGGGAGGGATGTGGCTATGAACTTTTTGGACAAGCTTAGGGAAAGGAAATGGAATTATTTTCTTTAAAATGAACCCTTAGTGGTTGTTCATTTACGACGTTCGAGATTTATGGGGAAGAGGTCTAGGATTTTGTGACACATTGTGATGACAGAGAAAAGGGGGGGGGGGGGGGGTTCAGCAAATTTCTGACATATAATTTTGCAATAAGGAAATATTTTTTTGTATCACGAAAACTTTGATGAGACGTCACAAGGGGGGGGGGGGAGGTACTGGCATCTGTTACAGTTTTGTGACAAGGGGGGGGGGGCTAAAATCATCATCATTAGTGAATGACCCCTTAGAAGATTTTCAATCAACTACACCTTGAGATTACGAGAAAGTCCAATTGTGCCTACGGTACCTACCCTACCTCCTGATTAATGCTTCTTGCCTCTGGCTTTCATAAATAAAAAAATACTTAATTTAATGGTCAAACTCATACTTAAAAATTTATTATGCACTTTTGTGTGCAATTGTTGTGGTTACAAACTTGAAAATGTGTCACAAAACCACGTGTTTTGTGAAATGATTCATTCAATAGAAGATGTGCGCGTCTTGTGCCAAGTGGGAAATTTCAAATTGAATTAACACGCTTATTAAAAAAAGAAGAGCAAAATATTTAATGTAAAAGTGACTAATCATATTCCTATATTTTCAGCTTCAATAATTGTGTCAGGTAAGCTTGAACCAAGAGTTTCTGGAAGTAACAGAGAAAGACATCCAGCTGCTAATGGAAAAGATCCAAAAACCAGCAACGGAAGGAAGCTGTAGTAATTTTTAAGTAGTGGTACAAACGGTGCGAGAAGAGATGATAGACGTGATATAGTTGAGAATGCTCCAACGCATCCACTTCTTGTGTTTGTTGGCATCATCTCAGCTGTAAGGAAAATACGTCAAATGAGTTTTAACTTCACAAGCATTCAATCTTACCAGTATAAACACAAGTAATTGTAAAAGCTGTTGATATTGCCATTTTGCTGATCAAAAATGAACAAACTTGAAGCCACACTATCTCAGCATCGACAAAAGCTCCAACAACACTTCCAATTCCACAGATTAAAAATGATATCACTAATGAATATCGACGACCAATTTTGTTCATTACAATCTATAAATAAATATGGACGGTGACTCTCATTCATGAACATAATTGAAACAAAATCAATTCAGAAATCTAAAAATTACCCAAGCTATGGTTGTTCCTGGAATTTCTATCAGGCTTCCAAATATAAAGTTGAAGTAAATGTTTCCACTCAAACTGACAGAGTAAAGTGAAAGTCCATAAAAAACGAGTGTATTAGTGCTCCTATAACAAGTCACGATTGTATTTTAATGAATCCTTAAGTCATCACTAGTATAACTCACCATATGAAGCACAGAACAAGAATTCGGATCAGAAGAATCTTTGATTTTAATAGTTCAATATAATTTGTCTTAGATCTTTTTTTAAGTGCTTGAGATTCTTGTAGTTCTGAAGCTTTAAAGCCATTTTGTGTCTCAAATTGATTAATGATGTTGGCTGAGAGTTCCTTCTTATTATCTTTAGCTGCTTTTTGAACTATTTTATAAGCACGGGAATATAATTTGTTTGATAAAAGCCAACACAAAGATTCAGGAACAAACCAATACTCAAAAATGAAAATGATTGGCGGAGCTGCTATCCACAATGTTAAATGCCTCCAGTTTCTTTCAAAATATACAATCACTCCCGCCATTACTCCACCAATGGCAAACATGTAATTCAAGAGTACTGAAGACAACTCACGCTTCTTTTTATCAAGCATTTCAATGATCAGAACAAACACAGAAAAATAAACTCCAGTTGTTCCAGCTGAATTTAGAAGTGTAAATATAAATAACATCGTATAGGAGATAGAAAGTGCTTGGCCAATTCCTGTAAATACCATAAAAATGTTTGCAAAAATGAAAGTTGGTTGTCTTCCATATAAATCTGCAATAAGCCCAAATACTGCAGATCCCATCATAACACCAGCAAAATTTGAGGTTCCAATTAAGGCAAGCTTCCATTCATTTTCAGTACATGTCATCTCACTAGGCCACTAAAGTAAAATTATGCAATTAGATCAGTAATATAAAGTTTGAATACAATTTACGTCATTTATCATTGTGACTTCATTTTCATCAAATATCCAGCTATCGCACTTTATGATTTGTTGACTGAATAAATTTGCTTGACAAGTGTTGTTTCCAGTTATTGCTATATCATTGTAGCTATATTTAAAGCATCCTTCAGGTACAAATTTTCCACTTGAAATTGAACCCGGCACTGCATATTGTAGCCAATCTTGATCATACGTTGCACTTTCGAACTGTTCACATTGATCAATATAGCATCTAATTGATAATAATAATGAAGTTTTAGTTCCAAGTTAAGTTGAATTTGCAATGTATACCTATAAGGAGGTGCTCGCGCTATAAATATGTAAGCTACTGTATTAGCAGATGAAAATATCACTGGAAGAAGTAGAAACAGCAAAATTTTGATTTGATATTTTCCAAAACCACCAATTTCTTCCAAAACTGCATCGTGATCCATAACTTGCCGTGACACCAAACAAAATGTTCAGTTCACAATTTCAAAACTTTACTTTGAAATCTGAAACTTATTCCAAACTATCTTTTGTTATTTTTAAACTTATAAAATGCAGAGCCACCGGAGAATCGATGCAGCACTGTTAATATAAAGTAAATGGAGCGAAAAATATTTATGCTTTAACTTTTTGGACTGTCACAGCACAAAATATTTTCGTCGACTAAATAGTTAAGGTTTTATCGGTTCGTTCACATATGACGTTCCTCAAAAATAGGTTATTAACCTCAACTTTAATCTCAGCTGCTTTAAAATCTAAACAATCCATTGATCGAAATGTCACAACATCCATATAATATATGTTGTACCTCATAAGTGAATGATGCCCAATTTTATTCATTGCAATTTGAAGTGTCAATAAAAGTTTTTTTTAATCAAATAATGATTAAAGTATCTTTATCTACTCTAAGTGGCGCTTGTTGCCAATTTTGTAATGCCAAATAAAAAAACTTAATAAACTTGAAATAAATGAGATGAAAGTTAAAAAATGAATATACAGTTGAGATTAGAGCAGGCTAGAGTTATTGACAGTGTCTGGTTTCCAGGACTGTACGGATAACCACTGTCATTGCTTGGTTTTAAAACCGATTTTAAAATCGGTTCCAGTTGAATGTTTGAATTTAACTTTTCACAGCAAAAATATGGGCCTAAGTCATAAATATTCATTTTTTCCGAAATTCAATTGACTTAAAGAACCAATCTCCTTCTTTTCTGTATACACTTTAGCTGTCTGTTTTCCGTAGTTTTTAAAACAGCTGACTTAACATGAAATCGGATATAGTTTTTCAATAAATTTATATATTGTACAGACTACAATTAAAATTTACAGATTATGCAATTATTGTTTGATGCGAAAAAAAAAGTGCCAACGACTTCTAATGCATAGCAATTAAAGCAATCAAAGTTTAAGAGGAACACCAATGTCGAATGCAATCCTACGTGTGAGAATTTTTATCATCAATGCCTCAGCTCATATGTCAATTCAGGTCAGAAAATTAAATGCTTTTCCATATTTCAGCTCAATGTATGCGGAATTAATAACGTAAATAAATTCGATAAAATCAAATTAATGTTATCTAGAATCCCCAATAAATGTGACATCATCATGTTATGTGAGACTAAGCTCAAGTCTAGCTTTCCTTCAGGTATATATAATCTAAATGGATATAATAGATACTCGTGCAGCAGAGAATCCAAGAACTCTGGTGGTGGAATTTTATTATTTGTAAAGAAGGATATTCAAGTCCTTGATAATCAAAAAGCTTCATCATCGTTCGAAAAGATTAAATTAAGAATAAAACTCAAGGAAATGGAGATGGTTATTCTAAGTTATTACCGTCCGCCAGTACCTGAGTCGTTCAAACCATTCATTGAAGATGTTGAAGATGAAATGTTAAACTATAATGGAAACTTGATAATTGTTGGCGATGTAAACCTAGACTCTAATTGCGATAACATTATCTCATCTCAATACCAAAACTTACTCGCTACATATAATCTAAAAGTAACCAATAATGTTCGTACAAGAAACGCGAGTGGGAGGATAATAGATCACCTAGCAATGAATTTCATGAATAAATCCAATATCCGTAATCACACCATCAAAAACACAGTGTCTGACCATAATATCATCATTTCGCAACTTAAAGGAATCAGAACAGTAACCAGCAATGCAGTTATAAAAATTGAAAGAAATGACACTTATAAGCTAAGAGAACATTTTACAGCATTAACGTCACAGTCATCTTTACTAAATGAAACGAATCCTGACATTATTGCAGAGGAATTGACAAAAATTACACAAACAGCCATAAAAAGATCAACTAAAATTGTGACATTTAGAGTTAAAACAAAGAATCTATGTGATTGGTTTTCGATGAAGATAATTAAAGCCATTAATTACAAAGATATGATCAGGAAAAAATGGAGGAAAAATAAGTTCAATTCTGATCTGAAAAGAAGGCTGAGATACGCGGAGAACAATCTTAAGTACATTATTAAAATTGAAAAAGCTAGACATCTTAAGAAAATAGTTAATGAGGGCGATTCTAAGAAAATATGGACTAGTCTAAATTCTCTTCTTGGCCGAAAATCGAACGATACGGTTAAAACATTAATCATAGATAGTAAAGCAATTACTGATGAATATGAAATTTCCAACGCTATGAATCAACAATTTATTGGAGGAGTTGACAAACTTAAGAATGAAATAAATGAGAGCTCACATACAGTCAAAATGGACACTGTCCTTCCTTCAATAGTTCTTGATGACGTCACGGAAGAAGAAGTCATGATTGCAATTACATCACTTAAAAGTAGTACATCTCCAGGATTAGATAGAATCAGAACAAAGACAGTCAAAGATATTTGTGACTTGATAAGTCCCATAATGACTCACTTAATCAACAGAACATTTGTAACAGGTCATTTTCCATCTTGCTTTAAAACAGCCATTGTTACGCCATTAAATAAAAGTGGGGACCTTACTAATGTGACTGATTATCGACCCATTTCTCTCCTGAATACTTACTCAAAAATAATTGAAAAGATTATGTACAACAAATTCAATTCCTTCACCAGCGATTACCTCAATTTAATTTACAAAAGACAATATGGTTTTAGAATGAAATGCGGAACTAACATAGCCACAATAGAACTTATTGACTATATCAGCAATGCCATCGATCGAAAGAAGAAAGTATCAATGATTTCAATGGACATCAAGAAGGCATTCGACATGGTTAATGTCAATAAACTGCTAGATGTGTTAGAAAATTATGGAATTAGAGGAAATGCACTTAAGTTAATTGAAAGCTATCTATCTGATCGTATGCAAATAGTCAAAATCAATTCCACTCTCAGTACACCTATTATTTTCACCAGAGGAGTCGTTCAGGGTTCTATCCTTGGTCCATATCTATTCACGCTGTTTATCAATTATATTTACCGATTATCAATCAATGGAATCCTTTTCCTATTTGCGGATGACTGTATATTAATCAACGAGCACGACATCAAAGATCCTGTAGAAGAAAAAATCATTAGCGATATGAAAGCAATAATCAATTTCTTAAACTATCGAGGGCTTATCCTAAATGCACAAAAAACTAAGTTTATGATATTCCACACCAGCTATCTCAAAGTAGAAACAATACAAGAAATTAAATTTCATATGGATACACAAGAGAATAATAAAACCCCACAGCACTATATTATTCAACGTGTTTTTGAAGCCAGTTACTTAGGACTTATACTTGATCCTTGTCTAAAATTCGAATTGCATATTAACTACGTTAGTAAAAAGCTTGCAAGTGTATCTGGTATATTATGGAAACTAAGAAACAGTTTAACGACACAAGTGAAGAAGTTGATTTATCAAGCCTTATTTGAGACGCATTTAGCATATCTGGTTCCAATATGGGGACGTGCAAGTAATCAGGCAATCAAAGGCCTTCAAGTGATACAGAACCGAGCTCTTAGAAACGTATTTGGTCTAGATAGATTGATGAATCGAATAAGAATGTACACACATGAAGTTCAAAACTGTTTGTCCATACGCGCACTTTTCTATCTCAACACTGCTGCATTCGTTTACAACGTAATGCACAACAACGTTCATTCCAATATGGTCTTCTCTAAATCAAAAAGCACAAGACCCACAAGACAAAGCGATAAACAACTTAATCCGCAAAAAGCAAGAACTGGATATGGGCAATTCTACGAAAAGGTTTCATTAAAATAATCCGTGTCAATTGCACGAAATTTTTTAATTATTTTATTTTCACGTGTGCATAGTTTTTCAAAAATCTAATTCTCATTTCCTTTTCTATTGGTTAAACTGTGAATTATGATTACATCTGCACTCAAATTACTTAGCTATGGCTTGAGAAATTCTTGGTTTTAATTTTAATATTTGGTAGTTTTTTTTGGAATTGTCTCCAAGTTACTCTGTTTCACTTATGAAATTTTTCGTAGAATCCAAATTGCAGCTTAATTAAGGCGTCCACAAATATGATTTTGACATCGTTTTGAAGCTTTTACTTTAAGCTACAACTTTGTATACTTAGTATTACTGGAAATTTTACCACCTTAAAGATATTAATGAAAACATTTTGGAAATTTGGGCGAAAAAATTCATGTGAAACAGAGTAATTTTTCGTAGAATGTAAATAATTCTTTAATTAACCATTTTTAATATGTTTGGGTGAGAACAATATGTAGATCTCGGTAAAATCTACTATTAAATACATGAAACATGGGGAGTAATGCAACTGATAAAGAGAAATATAGATTTGGAGACAAATTTGTAGAAAATATCATTCGTAGAATCGCCCATATGGAAGCAGATGTATACTTAATTTTGGTGCTAAAATATTTAATCATGTTCCTGAAGATATAAAGCGACTTCCACATATAAATAGCTTCAAATGGGCGCTTCGATGTCACATCAGAAACGAAGAATTCTCAAAGATGTGCCTCAGCAACGAATTCACCGAAAAATTTTTATAAATATTAAATAATTAGAAATTGCATATTTTAAAATTTATGTCATGGATTGATACTTACCACAGCTTCTGCATTCTCTCTTCCTTTTACTAGACTCTTAGACTTGGCTTAGTCATCATCATACAGTCGGTATAGATCAGTCAAGATGCAGTTTTGGATGGAACTTTAAGCACTTATTAAATTAAATTAACTGTTATAATAATTGTTATTTTTTAACTGAAAATTTTAAATTCTTTCCGTTATTTCTGAGATGACACAATTAAGATCATGCTATGTTTTATAAAATCAAAATGCCCGTTAAAAGAAAAATGTAATTGTTGATAGGAATTCTTAATAATTTTCGAATGTTGTAATTCCTTTAATTTTTTCAAATTGTGAACACCCATTACAAAGGTTTTTTATGCCGTTTTAAATGCCAGAGATGTGCTGTGCATTTAAATCGGCTTTTTCCTTTGACAAAAGTACAATAATAAATAATAATAATAATAATAATAATAATAAAATTGTTGTCATTACAAAATAAATAAGATCCTACGTCACTTAAAAAACACGTGCGCTACAAAATGATTCATTTCAATTTTCTTAAAAAAGATTTATTTAAATTGTTGTTTCTAATAAAATTGTAAGTATAAAAGTGACTAATCATTTTCCGATATTTTCAGCTTCAATAATTGTGTCAGGTAAGCTAGAACCTAGAGTTTCTGGAAGTAACAGAGAAAGACATCCAGCTGCTAATGGAAAAGATCCAAAAACCAGCAACGGAAGGAAGCTGTAGTAATTTTTAAGTAGTGGAACAAACGGAGCAAGAAGAGATGATAGACGTGATATTGTTGAGAATGCTCCAATGCATCCACTTCTTGTGTTTGTTGGCATCATCTCAGCTGTAAGGAAATTTACATCAAGAGAAGGAAAATGCTTTTAATCATAGTTCTTACCAGTATAAACGCACGCAATGGTAAAAGTTGTTGATATCGCCATTTTGCTGATTAGAAACGAAAAAACTTGAAGCCACACAACCTCAGCATCAACAAAAGCTCCAAAAATACTTCCAATTCCACAGATTAAAAATGATATCACTAATGGATATCGACGACCAATTTTGTTCATTGAAATCTATAAATATATATGGACGATGACTCTCATTCACGAACATAATTGAAAAAAAAACTCAATTCAGAAATCTAAAAATTACCCAAGCTATGGTTGTTCCTGGAATTTCTATCAGGCTTCCAAATATAAAGTTGAAGTAAATGTTTCCACTCAAACTGATAGAATAAAGAGATAGTCCATAAAATACTAGTGTATTAGTGCTCCTACAAAAAGAATTGATGATTCAAAAGGATCTACGAAGTCAATAATAAAGCTTACCATATAAAGCAGAGAACAAGAACGCGGATCAAAAGCTTTTTAGATCTTAGAAGTTCCAAGTAGTTTGTGTTTGATCGATGTTCAAGTATTTGAGATTCTTGAACTTCTGAAGCTTTACAGCCATTTTGTGTTTCAAATTGATTAATAAAGCTGGCTGAAAGTTCTTTCTTATTGTCCTTAGCCGCTTTTTGAACTATTATGTATGCTTGTCCATAAGATTTTTTCGATATAAGCCAGCGTAAAGATTCAGGAACGAACCAATACTCAAAAATGAAAATAATTGGTGGAGCTGCTATCCACAATGTTAAATGCCTCCAATTACTATCAAAATATACAATTGCACCTGCCATTACTGCACCAACAGCCCAAGAGTAATTTATGAAAACTGAAGAAATCTCGCGTTTTTCTTTGTCTAGCATTTCAATGATCAGAACAAATGTTGAATAGTAAACTCCGATTGATCCGGCGGCATTTAAAAGTGTAAATATCATTAACATCGCATAGGATGGGGACAGTGCCTGTCCAATTCCAGTTAATGACATAAAAACTAAAGATGAAATGAAACTAGCTCGTCTTCCGTATGAATCTGCAATAAATCCAAATACTGCAGATCCAACCATAACTCCAGCAAAATTTGAGGTTCCAATTAAGGCAAGCTTCCATTCATTTTCATTACACGTCATTTCACTAGGCCACTAAAATTACAAAAACAAAATTAATGAATGTTTACATTTTCGTAACTGATCACACTCACGTCATTTATCATTGTGACTTCATTTTCATCAAATATCCACTTATTGCACTTTGTTTTATTTTTACCGAACAAATTAGCGACGCAAGTATTATTTGTAATTAATCCTGTATCGTTAAAATTATATTTGAAACATCCATCAGGTTCGAATTTACCATTTGATATTGAACCCGGTACAGCGTGCTGCAACCAATCTTGATCATATTTAGCATTTTCGAACTGTTCACATTGATCAACAAAGCATCTAGTTGACATTAAGAATTGACATTTTAGTTCCAATTTAAGATCAATTTGAGATACTTACCTATAAGGTGGTGCTCGCGCAATAAATATATAAGTTACTGTATTAGCAGCTGCAAATAGAACTGGAAAAAATATCAACAACAAAATTTTCACTTGATATTTCCCAAAACTGAGTTCCTTTAAAACCGCATCGTGATCCATTAATTTTATTGTGTCACTTAATACTACAGATCAATTATTAGCACTGATTTAAAAAATCAATTTGAATTAAATGAATGATTTTTTCCTACGAACTGAACTCTCACAAATTTTCCTTTAAACTAACAAAATGCTCAAATCGAATCACAAAAGAGCATCTGAGTATAAGGCGGAAAATCTTACAGCTGAATACTATTAAAATGTGACTGCACAAAATAAATTCGTCGACAAAAAATCTTCGTGTTCATTCACTAATGTGTCAATACTTTTTACTCAAATACCTTTATCTAATTCTTTATCTAATACCTTTATTTAAGTTATACCTTTATCTAATTCAAGTGTCAATCGATGCCAATTCTAAAATGCAAAATCGATAATGGTGAAATTAATACAACAAAGATTCATAGTTCATTAACTGTAGATTTCTGCATTACTATAAAGATTTAATCTACACGTCACGTTCGTGCATTATTAAGTTTTCTTTTTTTTGACTACATTGCAAGATCATTTGAATTGCAGCCAATTCAACGTCATCATCATCATCATCATCTGAAATATTAAATGACATCAAATCTACATATTTAAGAGGAATTGATCGGAACTACATATGAAGGATTAGTTGTTAAGAATGGGATTGAAAATCAGGGGCAGGTTTCTAAGGTTCCTTGAGACATCAACGCTAGGAACTCTTAAATTTTATTAATGCCTAAGTTTTAGAAAAATAGATTCGATTTTTAATTCTTGAGCAATGTTCCTGGGGCAACTCTCGATGCCACCTTATGTAATCTATTCTTTTGTGTGGACGAAGGTTCGATTCCAAACAAAAGCCTTAATAATGTTATAGTTTAAACAGTAAGCATTCAAACAATCCTCATAACATTACAGAAACCAACATGCAATTTATAAAGCCTTAAGCTAGATCTACCATAAGTTATACATTTTGAATGATTAACACCTCAAAAAACAGGCTGGATACGTCAAAGCTTGTAATCTTCCATTTCCAAAATCAAATTGCACAAAGAATAAATTTGCAAAGACTCAAGTTGAAAATCCCAATTTCCGAGAAACAAAAAGGAAATCTTCAAAAGAATCGCAAAGATGAAGCCATAACAGACCTTAAAATTTCATTTGAACTTTTTCAATTTTCCAGCTAGAAAACTCCATAATCTCTTCGGTCAACTTTATAGAAATAGAAAATAAAATCCCAGAAATGAATGCATAAGCCATAAAAGGAAATTGTAGATGTTTTCTGTGTAATTCTTTACAGATTTGAAAGTCTATTGGCTTCCTTCCTACCGTATAACATGATAGACATTTTCTATATTGAATTCATGAAAAATTGAATAGAAAATAATCGAAGGACTTTATCGGATTGAAGGGAAAAAGGGTATAAAATTGAAAAGTTTTATGTTCAATTTTTAAAACTGACAATCCTTTTCGAGTCAGGAAAAATGGAAACTTTTTCTTTCTCATACTAAATATTTCATTATACCATCACAACTATCCACTATCTTCTCACTCCAATCGACATAAATTCTTTACTATCATCCTTCGTTTCCTTAATGAAAACTTGTCTGTCCAACTGCTTTCTTTCTTTTTTTTATCGACTTAGAGCATTTTCCATGACAATCCTGTCATCAAATCCCCAAAGTAATTACCAATGTCAATCACTATTAAGTGCTTTATTGGGAGGAAGAAATATTGAAAAATTATCTTTTTTTTTCTTCCATTAATTCCTTCTTCTTATTCGATTCCTTGTTTATTTTATGTTTTGTACATTATTCACGCGATAGGAGTTTTGTTGAGCATTTTGGAGGGGGTTGTCTTCAAACCTTGATTTGTTATAACTGGTAATTATACTTCATATTTTGATTAGATTAGGTTTTCATTTTGAGTTTTAGTTTTTGATGTTTTTTTGTAAACTTGGATTTATGATTATCGATTTCATTTGATGATCCTGTCAGTACATAGAGTTTCGATTATTCAATTTTGTCTAACCTAAGTTTATATCTAGAGATCAGTCTTTCTGAAACCTTCATAATATTCTAGACATATTAGATGCAATTTTGAAATCCTTAGAAGTTTGGTTTGAATCAATTTGAACTAGTTTTATATTTGGGATCTAAGAAATATCAAAGGAAACTCTTTTTTGACAAGAAATCTAGAAGCAAGGTTCTAAAGATGTCTCAAGATTGTCTTGAGCTATCCTTCATTGTCAAACGACAATTTTTGAATCTAATATCTTAGAAGTAGACTAAACTCGATATCTAAATCTTCACAAACAAAGATTAATATTAATCGTGTTTAAAACAAGCTAATTTTTCAAAAAGTCTCATTTCCATCAATTTCAAGTCTTTGATTCATATTTATCAAAAAGTGCGCCATAATTATCCACAACTAAAAGATAGTAATCCTCTTAATAATTGACGCGCAAATAAAAAAATTGAAAACGAACGATTTTTCCTCATTGAAAGCTGAAAAGACTTATTAATGATGAGATAGAAAATATTTTTTAATTAACACACAGTCAAGAGAGAGAAATGAGAAATGCTGTCATAGAAATTTATACTTTACGTTCTTCATTAAATGAAAATAATTGAAGGAGATAGAAAAAGTAATAAAAAGCATTTTCTTATTATTCGAGTTGTTTTTCAAGCGATGAACAAGTGTTTCAACACTCACTGATTTATCACTTCCTTTAATCCTCTTAATCTCCCATTCATTCATTGAATTGAGCAAAGTAAGTAGCAAAAAGAAGTTTTCAAAGCATCAACTTTGAAAGAAAGGAAATTTCCACTTTCCGTTCCAAAACATAAGAATCAAAAGGAAGTAAAATAAATTATATTTGTGTGTTGCTGCTGGTTGGTGCTTATGAGAAGCAATGTGAAATGAAATGAACAAAGGCAGCCAATAGGTAAAATCAATTTTTCATCAAGTGATGAGAAACTTTTTTTTTCCTATTCAATCGTGTCTTTAGAATGCGACCGTACTGATGAAGTTGTACTTGAGGGAAAAAATAATAATTTTCTATTATTTTGATGTTGGAAGCAGAGTTGTTATCCATTTAAAGTTTTGGGGAAAACGTCAAGAAAATCAGAGAAGCTTGTTTAAGTCAATTAAGTATACAAAGTTATCGACTATCCTAAGCAAACAACGCTGGATAGAAATAACAAAAGGTACCTAATGAACAATAAGGTGGATGAAAAAACACACACCCTCAAGCAAAACATTTAAAAATTTCGGTGCTTCAAATGAATGTCTACATCGTCCCCATCCCAATCATTTCACAAAAAAAAGTACACAACGTGCGAAAAATATTTCAAATTTTTCCATTCTTTTTTCTCATTTTGAAGCCATTTACAAAAAAAAAAAAAGAAATACCTTTTATGTTCACCCTCCTCTCTTAATTTACCATCTCACACTCCTTCATCTTGTTACCTATCATATCCACAAATTCTAACAGATCACGTGCCAAGAGTGCTATTGTCAAATTCAATCTGCTCGACGTTGTGATGAAAATTACAAAAATTTATGATATTTAGTGAACGTGAATGTAATTAAAGCTTTTGTAGCAAAACATTCAGTATTTCATCTCTCTTCATGCTATTTCTACTTCCCATTCTCATTCATTGTGTTCTTAATGTACAGGTATTTGCTAAAAAATTGTGATTTATAAAGTAACTTTGACTGGATGTAATTGATTCATTTTCTCAGTGTTGTTTGATATTTGATCTATGTTTACAAGGAGATACAAGGTAAAGGAGGATTCATTTACTTAAAAAGAAGTTGAAAGTTTAAAAATGATTGAGGAATTAGATTTCAATTAGTTGACTTTAACTCTTTCAATTGAATTTAACGAACTTTTTGAATTCAAATTTTTGCATCTTTCTACCTCAATTCAGTAAATTTTAAATTGAAATGTTCGTTAAAGCATAAAAGCATCTTATCCATTAAAGTTAGTCATTTATCATGAAGACATGCGCCCACACCACTCAAGACATAAAGGTCGACACAAAATACTCGAAATTTTTTTATTCATTTTCTATTTTTAATTCAAATCTTGAGTTGAGATGACTTTTTTATGGTTCACAAGAGTTGACTGACTGAAAAGCAATTTTCATTTTAGGAATGATGAAAAAGGAAAACAAAATAACATTCCAGACATATAATTTTGTCAGACAAAAACATAATCTAAGGTATGGGATTGAATGAATGAATGAAAAGTTGTGGATGGACGATTCGTAAGCTATTTAAGATACGAAAATTTTAGACATACATGAGCAGCATAAAGTTATGAAAAATTGTATTTTAACGTTATTCCTTCTTTAATTAATAGCAATCCCTTTGAGTTCATTAAAACAGCAATGCAACACAAAAAGAGGAATTCATAGTGATGCAAAATTAATTAGTCGAATGTTTATTAAATTAAATTCATCACCTCCCCTCAGACATTATATCCTGAACTCTTTGTTTATGTTCATCCCAACTCTCTTTTCTCTTCTGTTTTGCCATTTTTAATTATCATAATAAATTCTCCCTCATTCATGATGCTTTTAATATATCCTGACGAGATCCTGACATAATAATGAAAAATCTAGCATAAAGAAATCTTTACCTTTTGTTTTCCGGTTTCCATCTCTTATTGTTTTCAATTTTCAATTGAAAGTTTTCAATTTTCTGTTTCTTCATGCTGTGTGCTTAAAATTAAATAAGTTGGTTGGTGCAAATTTCTTATGGTTGAGTTCTAAGAAGCTTCTTTGTCCTAGATTAAGTGAGATTCCGGAATCGATACTTTTAAACAAAGAAATTTCAAGTTCAAACTAAACAAAGTTTAATTGTAATAATCGAAAAACATCCAAACGAGTCAGAATAGATCAAGAAGAAGGACTTAACCTATTAGAATAAAACAATCAGTTCATTTGAACTACTCCAACTTTTCAATCGTTAATTAAACTTGTCATCTAGACTTGTCAAGTCAGAATGAAATCAAAAAGCAAAACATAGCGATTAATTGAGCTAAAAAGGAAGAGAAATGAGATGAAATTTTTTTTCCTTCAAATTGACACACAGTGTCGTGGTTGATGCTAAAGTTCAGTCAGTCTCATTGTTT